TCAACTCTCATCCTGATATACACATTATTTCCTACTCATCAAATCTCAACTCTCATCCTTGAGATACACTTTTAATTTCTACTCATCAAATCCTAAATCCCAACTTTCAGAACTCACTGTTGTTGTTTTCAGAAGTTATGTGCAGATTAATTGTTACATCAAAATAGGTGCTTTGTACTCATAGCTCAAAACATGCATTTATTTATCCCAGCTTTTTGCGTCAGATTTGAACTTGTAAGTTCAGCCTGAGTGATTAGTCTTGTTAATTTGATGAATCATGTGAGTTCAAAAGTTTGTACTCTATAACGTGTCTGTGGGTGTATCATCATTCTCAATTGTGGAGCAAAATTCATTCATATTTTTTCATTTTTCAACAGAAACATTTACGTATTATTTTGTCATATTTTTGGCATGGAAAACATTTCATATTTCTCTGAAGTTATGCATGTATCACCATTCTATTTGTATCTATTTGTAACAGCTCCTGCTGTTCGGTTGAGGGTGAATATTGACACGACACAGTTGATTGGATAAAACACAACTTTCAACGCATTGATCACTTTAATCACATCTAGTAGATATACAAGGTCAAGTTACGATAGAATATTGGCAGTGACAATGACAATGGTTTCAACTGTAAAATGAATAAAAAAGAAAATAAATAAAGAAATTACAAAGGTATAAATAATGTACAAGTATAATGTAAAAACATAATTTTAGACAATAAAATATGATTCACACCTTGGTAATATTCGCGGCTTACAGACCAATAATAGCGAACAATAAAAATACAGAAGTAGGTGTTGCGATACAAGTCAATTACATCACACATGGAGATAGCGGTCACGTGATAAGCATCGAGTGAAACAAAATTGCACATAATCGAAATAAGGTTGCGAATCTTGAGATATAACAATAAATCGTTGAATCAGATTAACTAGACACGCATAAATCACTAATTAAGGCATTGGTTGCACGATCATCGATCAAAAACAAATACATAAAGTTTCACGGAATTTTCCACATCATGTCGACCTACGACGCCTCGTGTAAAATTGCATTTAGAAACCTCGCTGAATTCACTCATCAAAAAATTAGTAATTCTGAACGATGTCATTATTACAGTAACAGGAAATAAGATCACACTTACGTTTGTGTCTTGACCATGGAATAGCGTGAATTGAATGACGAATTGAGCGTTAGTGACGAGTCAAAATCAAATGCCGCGGTAGCGTGAAAACTTGTGATCTTCAAAAGGTAAAAGGTCAACTTTGAACAAAACGAAAGGGCCACTAGAGGGCGCCACATATCTAACTGTGTTGCAAACCGGCAGCAACACTCCGGCCCCTTAAAGGCGAACAATTGAGCCTTTATAACATTACTATCTAAATTACAAAGCAATGTAAACAATAAATACAAGTATGACTGTCATTAGGGGTAGACTACCCTTCAAGTCGACACTGGGGATTATTCTGCCCCTCTGTAAACAAGAACACAATAACAATCGACATACTGTCAGACACAGATATTGCTACTGTTCAATGGCTAGTCTTTTCCAGAAATTTCAAGGCACACAATCTTCGTAATTGGTCTTACTAGCATCCCAGTTGATGTTCTTAACTTCACTGAGCGAACCATATTATCTGAGGTGGTTCTAAATACTTCCACAACCTGAGCAAGAGGCCATGAACATCTTGGAGCTGATGGATCATGAACCAAAACAACATCGCCCATCTTGACATTATCTCTTGCTTTGCGCCATTTTTGTCTCTCCTGAAGAGCCGGTAAATACTCTTTTATCCATCGATGCCAAAACACATCAGCAAGATATTGTGCTTGGCGCCAACGCTTTCTCACGTAACAGTCCTCCTTGACAAATACTCCTGGTGGAAGTTTCGGTCCTGCTCTCAGCAAGAGCAGGTGGTTTGGTGTGAGGGTTTCACAATCCTTTGAATCATCTGATAACCTCGTAATAGGTCTCCCATTGACTATCATTTCAACTTCACAGAAAAGTGTGTGAAGGACTTCATCATTGACGGTCTGTTCAGTTGTCAAGGTACTCAACACCTTGCGCACAGTTCTGATGCAACGTTCCCATACACCACCTTGATGTGATGCTGTTGGGGGGTTGAATTTCCACTCAACCTGATTTTGTAGCAAGTATTGGTGAATTTGTTCTTGATTCCAGTTCTCTATGGCCAATCGCAGTTCCCTTTCACCTTTCACAAAATTTCCTCCATTATCGGACCTAATTAGCTGTGGCTTACCACGTCTAGCTATGAATCGCCGCAACCCATTCAAAAATGAGTTTGTGTCCAGTGAATAAGCTACCTCGAGATGCACAGCTCGAGTTGTAAGGCAGGTGAATATTATACCATATCTCTTCAACATGGACCTTCCATTTTTGACATAGAAGGGTCCAAAGCAATCAATGCCTACACAAGTGAAGGGAGGCAAGGTGGGAGTAACTCTATCTATTGGCAAATCGGCCATCTTCTGATTGGGTGGTCGAGCATGTCTTTTCCGGCAATCAACACAGTTCCTTGAAGTTGCTTTGGCAGTTGCACGCCCACCAATGGGCCAAAACCTTTGTCTGATTTCACTAAGAGTGTGATTTGTACCAGAATGACCAGTACAAATATGATAGTGGCGAACAATGAGTGTTGTGACATGATGACCCTTTGGTAAGATTATCTGATGTTTTGCATCTTCATTAATTTGTGAATTTCTCAGTCTGCCACCAACTCTCATAACACCTTCTACTAGAATTGGGTCAAATTTTACCAATGGGCTATTTGAATTAACTTGTTGACCATTGCGCAGGGACTGATCTTCAGCTGCATATGACTGTTGCTGGATATACTTCACTATAGAAATTTCAGCACCCTTCCATTCCTCCACTGAGATTGGTCCTGCGACCCCTTTTCCCTTTGACTTGACAATGTGTTTCCATCTCAGTATCCAGGATACAACCTTTATTAGTTTTGGCCAGCTGGAGAAGTGATTCATTAAGTAACTAACACTGCAATCCCTTCTAACTGAAACCGTAGATACAGCCTTCAATTCTGGGTCCCTTTCAGAGATACCCAGGTCAGCAGGATATTGTGGCCATTCACTTTCGTCTTGTTTCAAAAACTCTGGTCCAGAGAACCACAGATCACTCTTAATTAATTCCATTGCCCTCATCCCATGAGAAGCAAGATCTGCTGGGTTCTGCATTGAAGGAATGTAGTGCCATTGATCCTTGCTAGTACATGAGACAAGATAGTTGCAATGCGATTGCCCACAAACGTTTTGAAGCGTGTTGTTTCATTATTTATGTATCGTAAGACGCATGTGCTGTCCGTCCATAGAATAGATTTATCGATCTTGATCTCCTGAAGTTCGTCGCGAATCATCTGGTCCAAGCGACATGCTAAGACTGCAGCCTGGAGCTCCATTCTTGGGATCGTCTGCATTTTCATGGGGGCAAGGCGAGACTTCGCTGCGACAAGCGCACAACTGAATATACCTTCTGCGTCCTTCTGACAAAGATAGGAAACAGCACCATAACCCGTTGATGATGCATCACCAAAGTGATGTAGTTCTCGATACACAACCGCTCCAAGTTTCGGCTCTTTATAACTACGCCGAATTCTCAATGTTGTCAGATGGCTCAAGTCAGACAGCCATTTGTTCCACTCAATCTCGATTTTCTTAGGAATGTCTTGGTCCCATTTACAATTAAGTAAGCACAGTTCTCGAAGCAGAAATTTTGCCTTCAGTATAAATGGAGATACCAATCCCAATGGATCATACACCGAAGCTACCACTGACAAGATACCTCTGCGTGTACTGGGTTTGGTTTTTGGAGAGATAACATAGCCAAGACTGTCTTCCTTGATGAACCACTGGACTCCGAGAGCCCGTTGCAAGTCACCACCTCCCAGAGATGATAGATCCTTTGATTTATCCTGTTGAAGGGAAGGGCATTCAATAACTTTACGGAATTTGAACTCCACTTGGTCAGGTTGAAACCACCCTTTGCAAGCAGATGCTTAAGATTTAGAGCAGTGCTAATCGCCTCATCTTCACTATCTAAAGACTTGAGACAGTCGTCAACGTAAAAGTTGTTTTCAATAGTATTAGTGATATTCTGCTCATGTTCTCCTGCACGGTCCTTTGCCACATTTCTAAGGGCAAAATTGGCACAACTTGGTGACGATCGTCCACCAAAAAGATGTACCCGCATTTGATATTCTTGTGGAGAATTATTCAGATTACCATTTTCCCACCAAAGGTAAGTTAGGTAGTGGGAGTCAGTTTCAGGCACTCTAACTTGGTAGAACATTTTCTCAACATCAGCCGAGAAGGCAACTTGACTGAGGCGAAACCGCATCAACACACCCATTAGGGAACTGGTTAAGTCCGGCCCCTGTAGAAGAAGGTCATTGAGGCAAACATCTTTGTATTTTGCTGAGCAGTCAAATACTATACGCACCTTCTCCGGCTTTTGAGGATGTATGACTGGGTGATGTGGTAGAAACCACCTTGATTCATGGCCTACAGCGGAACACACCTTTCTAGCATAGCCGTCCTGGACTAAGCCTTCCATGAACTTAGTGTACTTCACCTTTAGAATGTCGTCTTTCTCAAGTCGAACCTTGAGAGAATTCAGCCTTTTCAAGGCCATTGACTTGTTGTTGGGTAGCACTTGAGGATCTGTCTTCCATGGCATAGCTACTTGATAATGACCATCTTCGAAGCAAATTGATCGTTTCATGATGTTGATAGCCTTCAAGTCATCACGAGACATCACAGTTTTTCCTATATTAGTGTCATTGAAGTCAATGTTACAAAATGTTTTAAATTGTTCATCAAGAGAAGGATACTCTAGGCATTGCCTATTGGAGTTAATGAAATTACACATGTTCTCTTGTTGGCCTATATATAATGGACCATTGACGACCCAACCACACAATGTTCGTGTAGCATAGGGGCCACCATTAGTTGATGTTTTGACCTCAAGGGGTTGATGCAGTTCTGGAATGTTAGTGCCAATCAATAGTCCAACTTCTTCATTAATATTTGTCACCTGAACACCATCAAGATGTGGCCACTTATTGATTTCTTCCTGCTTAGCAATTGTGTGGCTGTCCACTGGCAAAGTTGGAATAGTAAATACTTCGGGAGCCATAACGACAATATCCCCATTCAAATTGGAGATTTCAAGTGTTAGTAGTCTCCGTTGATTGGTAGATGTGCGGTCTTCAAGTCAATTTCGGTTTTCTTACCCTGGACGCCTAATTTCTGAGCAAGAGATTCAGTACAGAAACTTATGTTTGATCCATTGTCCAAGAATGCATATGTCTTTACAGTTTTTCTTCCTCCTGAGCACCTAACACTGACAGGCACTGCTGCAAACCCAATGATGCTATTTTTGCAAGTAACGGCTGTAGATGTACCCTGATGCGACTCACTCAGATTTTGAGCTTGAATTGAAGATGATGCTGGCGAATTACTAGGTGTGGTTGTTTGATGTGTCGTAACTGGATGAAAAAAACTTGAATGCTTATCAGCACACAGCTTGCAAAAACTTCCCTTTCTGCAAGTACTAACAAAATGACCAGGGTTGAGGCAATTGCGACACAGCTTCTTTTCTTGCACAAACCTCCTACGTTCCCCAACTGACTTCTCCTTGAATTCCCCGCACTGTGACAGCCAATGTGAAGAACTACACAGGGGACAGTTCCTTCTAAATGGTTTTGATTCAGAAATGTGAGGTGACACACTAACTGCAAACGATCTACCACTTTCCTTTTGTTGATTGGAAATTACAGAGAAACTTGGATCATTTCTCATTACTGATTCTTGATGAATGAAATTGTAGAATACTTCAAATGGTGGAAATAAAACGTTGTTGTTTGTCTTGAAACTAGCACCATGCTTCATCCACGAAACTTTCAGGCTTGGAGGTAGTTTTTGTACAACTACATTGAGCCCATGGGCAGAGTCAAGGCTGGCAAGACCAGGATATTTTCCAGACTCCTTCATGTGAAGAACTTCTAGAAGTAGGTGATCTAAATGCTGCAGCTTGATTGATTCCTTAATGGTGAACCTTGGAAATTCTTGTAGACGATTCATCAAATCTTGTTCAATCACCTCTACTGCACCATATGTTTGGTCTAGGAGATTCCATATATGTTTCAGAGCTTCGATTGGTTTGTCTACATAAACACTTTGAAGTGGTGTAACCAGTTCTCGTGAACTGTTTCCCAACCATCGCATAATCAGATTTACCTCTTGTGAGGGGGGTACATTTAACTCACTTATAGTGCTCATCATTAATGCCTTCCAGGCCCTGTAAGAAGTTGCACTGTCATTGAAAGTTCGAAGACTGGAACTCAATAGCTCTTTTCTGAACATTATGTTGCCCATTTCAGTGATCACATTTGCTGATTGATCAGACTGACTCTTGGTAGACTGTTGGCTGATGTTAACTAACTGCTCCTCCACATGAGTGGATTGTTGTTTGCTCTGAGGAGTGCCTGATTGACCTGTTGTCAAAGGTAGTGCTGGGGATGGCAAAGTCACATCATTCACACCGAGTGGAGAAAGAAGATTCACATTTCCTTGAGGGGGTTGAGCTGACCACCATGGGTCTTCAAACGACAGCACTTGAGATCCCAGCTTCTCCTCTCCCTTTGTGACATCTTCGACTGGATTTGACTCTAGGGCTTCATATACCCGTTCTTCCGCCTCTGACTCGGCAAGCTGAGTTTCTTGCTCGAAACGTATCCTTTGTTGCTTTAATTTGAGCTCCTCCAGTTCGAGTGCTTCTGTCTGGGCCAGTCTTTGCAGTCTAACTTTCAAAGCTGCACCCTTGGCTGCTGCTCTTGCCTTTGATGATGCCGTACTGGCACTTGAAGATACGGAAATATTGTCTGGTTGATCCATGACATCAAGAAACTTGAAACTGTAACAGCTCCTGCTGTTCGGTTGAGGGTGAATATTGACACGACACAGTTGATTGGATAAAACACAACTTTCAACGCATTGATCACTTTAATCACATCTAGTAGATATACAAGGTCAAGTTACGATAGAATATTGGCAGTGACAATGACAATGGTTTCAACTGTAAAATGAATAAAAAAGAAAATAAATAAAGAAATTACAAAGGTATAAATAATGTACAAGTATAATGTAAATACATAATTTTAGACAATAAAATATGATTCACACATTGGTAATATTCGCGGCTTACAGACCAATAATAGCGAACAATAAAAATGCAGAAGTAGGTGTTGTCAATTACATCACACATGGAGATAGCGGTCACGTGATAAGCATCGAGTGAAACAAAATTGCACATAATCGAAATAAGGTTGCGAATCTTGAGACATAACAATAAATCGTTGAATCAGATTAACTAGACACGCATAAATCACTAATTAAGGCATTGGTTGCACAATCATCGATCAAAAACAAATACATAAAGTTTCACGGAATTTTCCACATCATGTCGACCTACGACGCCTCGTGTAAAATTGCATTTAGAAACCTCGCTGAATTCACTCATCAAAAAAAATTAGTAATTCTGAACGATGTCATTATTACAGTAACAGGAAATAAGATCACACTTACGTTTGTGTCTTGACCATGGAATAGCGTGAATTGAATGACGAATTGAGCGTTAGTGACGAGTCAAAATCAAATGCCGCGGTAGCGTGAAAACTTGTGATCTTCAAAAGGTAAAAGGTCAACTTTGAACAAAACGAAAGGGCCACTAGAGGGCGCCACATATCTAACTGTGTTGCAAACCGGCAGCAACACTCCGGCCCCTTAAAGGCGAACAATTGAGCCTTTATAACATTACTATCTAAATTACAAAGCAATGTAAACAATAAATACAAGTATGACTGTCATTAGGGGTAGACTACCCTTCAAGTCGACACTGGGGATTATTCTGCCCCTCTGTAAACAAGAACACAATACAATCGACATACTGTCAGACACAGATATTGCTACTGTTCAATGTCTAGTCTTTTCCAGAAATTTCAAGGCACACAATCTTCGTAATTGGTCTTACTAGCATCCCAGTTGATGTTCTTAACTTCACTGAGCGAACCATATTATCTGAGGTGGTTCTAAATACTTCCACAACCTGAGCAAGAGGCCATGAACATCTTGGAGCTGATGGATCATGAACCAAAACAACATCGCCCATCTTGACATTATCTCTTGCTTTGCGCCATTTTTGTCTCTCCTGAAGAGCCGGTAAATACTCTTTTATCCATCGATGCCAAAACACATCAGCAAGATATTGTGCTTGGCGCCAACGCTTTCTCACGTAACAGTCCTCCTTGACAAATACTCCTGGTGGAAGTTTCGGTCCTGCTCTCAGCAAGAGCAGGTGGTTTGGTGTGAGGGTTTCACAATCCTTCGAATCATCTGATAACCTCGTAATAGGTCTCCCATTGACTATCATTTCAACTTCACAGAAAAGTGTGTGAAGGACTTCATCATTGACGGTCTGTTCAGTTGTCAAGGTACTCAACACCTTGCGCACAGTTCTGATGCAACGTTCCCATACACCACCTTGATGTGATGCTGTTGGGGGGTTGAATTTCCACTCAACCTGATTTTGTAGCAAGTATTGGTGAATTTGTTCTCGATTCCATTTACAATTAAGTAAGCACAGTTCTCGAAGCAGAAATTTTGCCTTCAGTATAAATGGAGATACCAATCCCAATGGATCATACACCGAAGCTACCACTGACAAGATACCTCTGCATGTACTGGGTTTGGTTTTTGGAGAGATAACATAGCCAAGACTGTCTTCCTTGATGAACCACTGGACTCCGAGAGCCCGTTGCAAGTCACCACCTCCCAGAGATGATAGATCCTTTGATTTATCCTGTTGAAGGGCATTCAATAACTTTACGGAATTTGAACTCCACTTGGTCAGGTTGAAACCACCCTTTGCAAGCAGATGCTTAAGATTTAGAGCAGTGCTAATCGCCTCATCTTCACTATCTAAAGACTTGAGACAGTCGTCAACGTAAAAGTTGTTTTCAATAGTATTAGTGATAGTCTGCTCATGTTCTCCTGCACGGTCCTTTGCCACATTTCTAAGGGCAAAATTGGAACAACTTGGTGACGATCGTCCACCAAAAAGATGTACCCGCATTTGATATTCTTGTGGAGAATTATTCAGATTACCATTTTTCCACCAAAGGTAAGTTAGGTAGTGGGAGTCAGTTTCAGGCACTCTAACTTGGTAGAACATTTTCTCAACATCAGCCGAGAAGGCAACTTGACTGAGGCGAAACCGCATCAACACACCCATTAGGGAACTGGTTAAGTCCGGCCCCTGTAGAAGAAGGTCATTGAGGCAAACATCTTTGTATTTTGCTGAGCAGTCAAATACTATACGCACCTTCTCCGGCTTTTGAGGATGTACGACTGGGTGATGTGGTAGAAACCACCTTGATTCATGGCCTACAGCGGAACACACCTTTCTAGCATAGCCGTCCTGGACTAAGCCTTCCATGAACTTGGTGTACTTCACCTTTAGAATGTCGTCTTTCTCAAGTCGAACCTTGAGAGAATTCAACCTTTTCAAGGCCATTGACTTGTTGTTGGGTAGCACTTGAGGATCTGTCTTCCATGGCATAGCTACTTGATAATGACCATCTTCGAAGCAAATTGATCGTTTCATGATGTTGATAGCCTTCATGTCATCACGAGACATCACAGTTTTTCCTATATTAGTGTCATTGAAGTCAATGTTACAAAATGTTTTAAATTGTTCATCAAGAGAAGGATACTCTAGGCATTGCCTATTGGAGTTAATGAAATTACACATGTTCTCTTGTTGGCCTATATATAATGGACCATTGACGACCCAACCACACAATGTTCGTGTAGCATAGGGACCACCATTAGTTGATGTTTTGACCTCAAGGGGTTGATGCAGTTCTGGAATGTTAGTGCCAATCAATAGTCCAACTTCTTCATTAATATTTGTCACCTGAACACCATCAAGATGTGGCCACTTATTGATATCTTCCTGCTTAGCAATTGTGTGGCTGTCCACTGGCAAAGTTGGAATAGTAAATACTTCGGGAGCCATAACGACAATATCCCCATTCAAATTGGAGATTTCAAGTGTTAGTAGTCTCCGTTGATTGG